AAATGAGGCTCTTTAGGTAGCACCATAACTAAAAGTTATAGGGTTCAGGTCAAGTGATTGTGGCAGTATGTCAGTCAAGATGTTGGAAATGGAAATGATTGGTTAATCATGTGTGTATTTATGTGAAAAACATTATTGCAGTAAGACTTGCACATTTAAATTGATTTACTCCTCTCTCCCTCTCCCTCCTTGTCGTCAAGCATTATCATTGTAAAAGCTTTTTTAATAAAACAAATATAAACATCTATTAACCCAATTTTTAGATTAATGCCAAATAATTGCCGGATTACATCAGGTAATATAGCATTACAGTATTATATGCTATAGCCTGATGTAATGCTACTAGCTGGATTACATCATGCTATTAGTAGCCCTATGTAATCTGTCATTTGCTTGGCCTCTAAAACAACATCAAAGTATTCAGCACAACCTCCTTTATTAATAAAATAGAGACAATATATTCTAAGTATGATGAATTTTGTATTGCTATATTTTATTACAGTACATGTGTAAAACATCAAGTTTTAGTGGTCTTAATCCTTCTTTTTTCCTGTAGGAATGTTTAGTTTAATGAATGGTAATGACTGACTGTGGGTGGGTGAGTAGCATGTTCAAACAGAGGGAGATAAACCTTCGCCCTAATCGTCACCATCTCATGACAAAATCATATGATGACCTACTGGGTGTAGCTCTGACAGAGAATCACCTGATGAAAAAGTTGGGGATAAAAGGGGCAGACTCTCTCTCTCTCGGTTGAATTAGAGATAAGTAGCTAGTTTGTCAAACTATAGTTAATCGATATATTTAATCCCTTTTTGTATTTTATCCTTACTTTATTTTGACTCATTAAACTTTTGTTATTTATTTAACCTGTCTGGACCCTGTTGACTTACTCATGACTCCCGCTTGTTTAGCCCTCTAATCAGATATTAGATGTCAACCTGCAAATGTCTAGCTAGAATTGCGAGTTAAGATGCATAAATTTATCTTAACTGGTGTCAGACATGACAGGAGAGGAAAATTATATGATTTTCCCACCTCTGATCATAAACCAAGGAACTAGCCATCCAGTGACAATTGAACAGGCCTAACCATCACGTCAAAAAAAGGGGTTTAAAATGATATTAATTGACCCCACAACTTCTCACATTAATTTTCCTTACATTTAACTTTATATCCACATTGTTATCTAATCAAACAATGAGTTTTTTGTTTAGCCTATAAATTTCCACTGTTGTCTGTTTGTCTTTCTTTCCTTAATCTTGAGAATGGAATTAGATGAAAGATGAGAACAGATATGGAAACCTTAGGGGCAGGAGGCCTCGATTTACTATATACAAACTACTGATGCAAACCAAAAGTCATACTTCAATTAAAACTTTTTCTCTGAAAGGTGTTAGATAGATGTCTGGCACGACTCTATTGTTAAAGGAAAAGCATGATGTACAGGGGCAAGCCACTACTAATTTGAGGTGGAGAGCATATATTTTAAATTAAATAAATTAAAAATATGACTAAAATTGCAGCAAAATAATTTCTCATTCACTTTTACTTTTTCCCTATAAATATAATGGGGTGCCAGTTGATTTTAGGGACAGGGTTTGACATATCTGGAAAAAATTAGATCTTTCAGTATTGTCACTAATTCTTGTTCTTTTATGGTAGCAATACATACCAGCTGTTGAAGTATGCTATTGGCTTTGCTGCAGTGTCCACTATTGATTTTGAAATGCTTAGTCAGATTTCCTGCTGAAGCATAATAAATTAATTCCACATTTCCTGAAACAAAATGTGCATATTAAAGCATATTATTATAAATATTAACTTATTTTTATGTGTCTTTTTTCTAAGTTAGTACCTGCAGGTCCTCTTTCTAAGTGCAAACTGAATAGCTGAACAATATGCATCCTAAGGAAGTTGTTAGTCCTATTGGCATCTCCACTCTGTCATCCTGTGACAAAAACAAAACACAACATTAAGTGGACCCAAAAGAAAGATGCCATTTCTTCCAGTGTGTTACTGTGGCAACACAAAAGGCTTGATCAGAGTAAGTTTGTGCAGAGAAGCTTCTGCATGCATCAAGTGGATTAGTATAGAAGTCACACTAGTTTCCTTTAGTTGTCATGGAAGAACATGGCGTCAAGTGCAATTATGTTGTGCAACTTTTAATGTCAAACCCCAAACTCAAGATTTTGTAGTTCTTTTGTTGTTAAATCATCCAAAGTATGACAGCTACAAAAATAAAGATGCCAAGGAGTGATGATCATCTTTATGCAATTGCTCAACATTATTGCCTTTCCATCATCAACATTACACTCCCAGGATAAATGATGACAATATATAGACAGTCCCAATTTAATGTAGAAGAAAATGATGACATCATTTTGGATGTTCACCAGACATGACATGACAATCATAAATTAAAAGCAAAGAAAGTAATAATTTACCTTGAATTGAAAATAGACATTTAAGAGAGTACTAAACTATGTAACTTAGACTATATTCTTGCCACAACAGTGCAGACCAGATATGCTGATAATACTTGTGGCCTCCAGTAATTTAGTTAATAGTTAATCAAATTTTAATAAACATAAAGTAATTTTAATGTACAAAATAAAACCTGTAGAGCCAACATTTTTAAAGCTTTTTATTAACTTACTCTGTCCATCTATTTGTTTGGTTGTCCGTCTGTCCAGGTAAAAAGTTGCAATTCAACTTCTCAATTTCCAATCTAGTTGAAACTTTGCACACACATATATTGCCAATGACAGTATGTTTTTTTAATAGTTTGCAAACATTTTTAAAAATTAGCAAAAAATTAGCAAATAATTAAAATCTATAAAAATCTGATAATGGATGGTGCTACAACACATGATCGTTATTTGTTGTCCTACACATGGGAACAAATATGAAGAAAAAGAATATGGTTATTCTGCCAAATAGCTAAACTACATCTTTAATCTTTAAGATAATATAACAAATATACATAAAAGCTATTAGTCTTCACTACTATTATTAGCAATTTTGCAGGCCAAAGAAGTTGTCTTGTTCAAGGTAGCCTTCTATCACCAAAGTAATTGAAAGGTCTAATCACTCACTACATCAAAATTACTTAATGTTTTTTTTGTAATTGAAACCAATCGTACAGAGAACAATATGCGTAAAATTAAATGTTAAACTAATAGTTCAGGGTTACATACATATAGTACAACTAAAAAGTAGAAAATAAAAAATATATAAAAAAAAACATTTTAAAGTAATGATTTATTTTCAGATAATATACTAAAAAGTAAAAAAAATAAATTTTCTTTAGCTTTCACAGTATTTTTGGTATTATGCAACCAAAATTACTGTGAAAGCTGAAGAAAATTTATTTTTTACTTTGTAGTACATTTACCTGAAAAAATCACTACTTTAAAATGTTTTTTTTGTATATTTTTAACGTATTGCTTACGATTAATGTCATCAAAGCGAAGCATAGCCGCTTGCGTAATTTAAAAGTTTTTATAAATATAAACATTAAGATTGTATTTGAAGCTTTATATCTGTTAAGATGATTATTTTAAGATACAGACTATTACGTAATGCAAAAAATTTTAATAATAGACTGTGTTGTGTAACAATACTACTGGTCACATGATCAACTGAAAAGTACTAATACCATTAATAATCTGATCAACTTGAATTATGTTCAAACTTTTATAGTTTTCTGCACATTTAGAAGCTATAAAGTTTAATTTGAAATCTCATTTGCTGAATTTGATTAATGGGAAGTGTGTAAAATAAGCGATTTTATTTGCTTTTAAATACATATAGTACACTTAATTTTTAACAGAAATAAGAACTTACTTACTTATTACATCATCATAATGTCTGAATGCAATTTTTTATCATAATTTAAAAAATCGCATAACTTCCAGTTCAAACGGGAAATTTTTATATAGTTAATTGAGCCTCCAGCTCCTAAACTTTCTATATTTGGTCTCATTCTTTATTATCTAACCTCATTCTTGAGTTTAAGGAATAATGGATGAATGGACATACAGACAGAAAGCTAAAAATCTATAGGTCTGCAATTTGAAAATTGCAGCCCAATAAAATAAAACAAATAGGGAAAAAACAATGTTTGAGACAATATTTTCTAAATCAGCAGTTGCCAACCTTTCTGATTTCACAGACCACTAAACTCTCAATTTTGAATCTTGCAGAATTCTGTCACAGATTTTTTTTAAACAATATAAACATCTACAGAATAATCTACATATAAATGAGGATGTATGTTTTTTTTTTTTTTTTTTTTTGGTTTGCTATACATGCCTAGGCCGATCAACAAATTGTTATGAAACTCGGCAGTTATGTTCACATACTTCTAATTTAGATAGTGTCATACATCCCGCCCCAAAATTGGATTTCTATTTATCAATTAATTTCTATCTACATTCAATTTGTTGGCTTTGCATGTGCCACCTATTGGCAAAAATTTAAGAAAATAATAAACTAAATATAATTTGTTGGCAGATTACCATTTGATATTTGGCTGTTAATGGACCAGTTTGTTAGTGCTAACATTAGAAAAAAATATGATATCTTAAATTGGAGTCTACTTGACCAATGAAACTGCCATTTCGTATCATCCGAGTATTGCAATAAACGTGACAATGGTAGGCTAAAGTAACCAAACTCTTTATATGGTTTTTGTTTTAATGTTTATTTTATTATAGTATTTGATTTATATAACCACAAAGGTTATCTTATGTAAGGGTTTACCATACCAAGTGACCAATCGTACACATTTTAAAAATTCTTTATCCCTCTACTGTACACAATTTAAAGAATTTTTAAAATCTGTTAGGTTGGTCACTTGGTATTATAAATCCTTACGTAAGATAACCTTTCTAGTTATATAAAGCAAATACTATTAATATAATATAATAGAAGGATTAGAAGTATTAAATAATCTAATAATCTTAATGTCTGTTTTTATTTTTTGTCCAGGCATTGCTGGGTTTACTTGCTAGTGACCATAAAAGTTCCATTTTACTTTATTTTACTCTATTAATATCAAATCACTTGTTTAATTATAACAAATTAGTGCAAAGTTTGTTGCTGCTTGTTTGAAATAAGTTTATGGATTCTTGGGCACTTTTCCACAAAGGACGACAATTGTACTCGTATCATTTATTGATTTATTGACATTTGATAAGTCATTTTGTGTTTGGTTTTAGATTTTGGTTTTGATATTTTTTAAAAATTTTTTCTTGTGGTACCCGTACTTCTTTATCAATGTAGAATTATTTCACTTTTCATACTTTTAGTGATTTACATAAGAAGTGTTCTGGTTTTGCTCAGCATTATATTATAACACTCCCGAAGTGTTGTGTTGTTGTGGCATCCTAGTATGCCGCAGCATCCCAGATGAATATCACCAATCTATAAACTATCAAAATATTAATTAAAAAATTCATTTTACAAAAGTTACTTTATGCATACGTATGGTAGCTATTTAACAAAATTATGGATAAATACACTTAAATTTATTCATTTATTATATATTTTGATGTGTTTATCTATACAGAATTGAACATTACATCAGACATTATGATGTACAGACTGCAGCAATGTTATGTTGCATGTTTGGAAAACGAAATGACGATAATCCTTACAATAAGAGAACAGTTACAGATACTGGAAGTGGGAGTGTAAGTTGTTACTACTATTAAATAATAATGATAATTTTTATTATTAATTTTTAAAAATATAATAATTTGATTTACATTTTTGATATATAATTTTAGTTAAGATGAATGAAATGGCTTTTAAATACTGGAAATAAATTATTTTGGAGTAATGAGAGAGAATTAAAAAATGAACAAACATATATGAAGTTTATATTTATATATACTAGTGTCTAAAATTAAAGCAACAAACATGAAACCTGTGTAGAATCAACACTATGAAATGTGAATAACATAAAACTTACATCATATGTAAATCAGCAAAGTGCCTTTCTAACATGTAAGATGGTGTATAATTGTATAATCATTCCAAGATGGACTCCAGTGTTGACAAAAGAGATTTCACTAATTATTTCATATACAGTATCTAATTCTTCTTGCTTTCTATACTTAAGAAAACAATAAAACTATGTTAAAAATTTTTAGAGTAGACCATAGACCATTAGAATACTTACAGCAGATTTCTAATAAGTGAATTATGTTTTCATGACAGGAAATTCTACTTTGAGTAAATATATTGAAAATAATCATAATCATTACGATTATTCTGAAAAATAATTTGACGTTATTCAAATTTTAAGATTGTATTTAGTTTTAGAAGAATTATTTAATGAAATTTTATTAATAGAATGAAGACGGCATGCTATGATTTCTACGAATGACATTTCACTGAACTCATTTTTCATTGGCTATCGGCTTTCTGCATTTGAAAGTAGAAATATTTAATGTTTCTCAACTCAATACCTGATGACAACTATTAAATTATGGTTTAAAACATATATTCTATTAAATCAAGCTTTGTTGGAATTTTATGGTGGTTTGTTCATTAATTTCTCAACTCTATTTTTTGAGACATTTCTTATTACAGAAAATGAAAATTTCTTTTTTCTCTCTTTCATAATTTTCTGCAAGTGGGAACCCAGTTTTCGATATCGGATTGAAACAGAGAAGCAAAATCTTAGCTGTATTGTTTCAAATTTAAATGCACGAGAACCATATTATTTAATTAAAAGTTAATATCGAGGATTCGTTTAGATCGTTATTTTTATAATAGGTTTTATTGAAGAATTTTATTTTTATTAATTTTTTCTGATATTTTTAAGTCATTTCCTTCAAACACAGCAACTGAAGTTTATCTCAAACTTTCCATAAAGATAGATAAATGATAATTACTAATACTTCTTTACAAAATTAATATTTTATTAATTTTTTGTTATTATTTAAAAGAAAAATAAAATTCATATAAACAGTTTTTAAAGATTTTCTTCCAGTTGATTTGTTTTAGTGGCAAGAATTATCCATATTTTAATCCAATGGAAGATATAATTATAATGAAATATTTATTACATTTATAGCAACATTCTGGGAAATGGTGGCTGAAGGTATGTCAGTAAGATCTCTGTCATTTCTAATGTGTATTCCCTTAACATACAGATTTGCCTGACTCTTTAACAATATTTGTTTCAAACAAAAAACAAAAAAAGCTTATTATTATTATGATTTCAATAAACGATAAATTATTAAATATAAATGCATGCTCTTTTTATTTATCATAATTATAATTTTTAGACAAAATCATGCATGAAATTACCAATTATATATATTTCTTTTAAATAAGATTTTTTAAAATTTTTATTATAATGTATTTTATAATTTATTACACTATATTTTATAATAATTCCATATTAAAAAATTCATTAATTTGATAAACAAACTGAGTGAATATTAAAATGGTCACAAAATGCTTTTTGTATTAACATTTAAGTATATATATATATATATATATATGAGTTTTTTTAAAATTTCAATATAATGATTGTTTACAAAGCTTGATATGCACGATGGGCCACAATTAGGCCTTCTGTTTTATTTTACTGAAATTGTGTTGAAATTCACATGAATTAAATTACATATTACAAAATATTTTGGTGAAGGATTTCAAGTATTGCATCTTGCAGTGTTCTTTAGAATGTTTTTGATGTGCTTCTTCCTCAGCTATGAAGCCTTTCTTCAGTTGGATGAACTCTACTTCATTTGATATGAGAGGTTTATGCAACTCATCCAGAACGACTTCTCTTAACACTAGATTGGGTGTGGTAGTGATATCTTGTGGCCTTCAATATTGCCTGACATTATCCTCTAGATTTTTTTCCTGGAATTTTGTGAAATACTGTGTTCATGCAACAAAGCTATTCTCTGTTTGGGAGTTTATGGACAGAATTGTATGGCTTTGTGATACCAGAAATATTATTAAAATTCTTTAAGGAAACAAAGTACAGCATTAGCAGGTGCAATGACTGTGCAAATGACCACATTAAAAAAAAGAGAGAGAGAGACTCAAAATCCTTCACTGGGATTTGTAATATATAAGAATTTCAATGCAACTGCTTTAAAGTAAAATAGAGAACATAATTATAGCTCACCTTGTATTTTATATAATTTATATTATTATTATGATTAATAAATTGTTGCTATTTGAATTGTTTTTTAGAAATTTTTAATTTATATATTAAATATTTTTAAAATTCCTGTGTATCTACAGAAATGACGTGTAAAAAATGGTTAAACCAAGTCTCTTTGAAGTTAAATAACTAAAAAACTGGTAATGAAACAGCACTCTAAATTTTACAGAATGACATTTGGTTTTTAAAATGGAAAATAAATAACCATTGTACAAATATAATTGAATAATTTCAAGAGAAAAGATTTGAATATTTATGTAATTTAATTCTGGATTAAATTAACACATGTTAATTATTCATTTTCAGAATGCATTCTATCAGTACTTCAATTTTAAATTAAAAATATCTTTGTAAATAAAAATTTGTATTCTTTCGATATTAATTTTTAACAAAATAATTTAATTGAATTTTCTTTCATAAAAATATTTTTTCAAGTGTCGTCGACTTAATAATGACGAGTTAAAGATGAAGTGAATAATGCAAATAGATAAAATGTAAAGTTATCATTGCATTCTCGATATTAAACAATGGATTATGATAAACTTTTAATTGAAATAGTAGTAATTTCATTTTTTCAAAAATTTTTAAAAGTAGATAGATACAAGCCTATGCTAATCTATGTAAACCGTGATTGATGACTATCCTTTATGTTTGCAAATTCTCAAAGAATAATTGTCTTTGATCAGCACAGTAAAAAATAATTTTGCAGTAATATAAAGTATGTAAATTTTTGCAGATCAAGAGAGAGAGAGTTTCAGAATATAGTAATTGCCTGATTTGCAAAATCTGTGCATTAAAATCTTGTGTATCTTAATCCTTTTTTCAGATTGTGTAAGTGTATATAAATTGCTTAACATTTATTCATTACATTTCTGAACAGATAGAAGATATTTTACCTCTAACACAAAATTCGTGTAATTATTTATTAGTTTAACATTATTAATATTGATAATTTGTCATAGGTTATTTACAAAATTATCAAAACTTACATAAATTGACTTATGAAATGAGATATACAATATTTTTTACAGGATATATAATAATCTTTATATAGTAAACAATGATATAAACAAAACAAAATAGTTTTAAAATAAATTTATAATTAGCTTTGTGAAAACTTTGTAATTATAATTAATATATACATTATTTACAATAAATACCAACTTGATAAGTCTAAACAATTACAGTTATGTCACTTTTTTCTATTATAAAAAGCATATCATTACTAAAATAAAATTTAAATTTTGTTTAATAATGTTTATTATGGTAAAAATTACTTATAAATTGTTAGAACTATAAGTTATAAAATAATTATATATGAGCTAAATTTATATCTTTAACAGGTATAAAAGCATTCTGTTAAGTATCTTTTCTATTTGTCTTGAAAATATTAATGAATACTTTAAATGGTAATTTTTCCATTATTATGATATACTGATAAAATGAATTGTCGTCGAGTGTTATACATTGTAATGCCCAAAGATGATTCACTTTATCAATGTAATTTCTGGCATGTTTAATAGTACATTGAATAATACTAAACTGCCATGTAATACAACAAAATAAACATCAAGAAAATCCTTTAGCACGAGGAAATAAATCATTTAATTAATGTGCATACATCTGTCATTTCCAATGACCTTACTTGAAATTTGAATACAGACAGAATAGAACATAGAAAATAATAAAGTGAAGAACATTAAAAAAAACTTTAAATACGTTTTATTTTGTCTACGTATTCAGATTTTGGTTGCTCGAGTTCAGAATTTAAAATGACCGATAATGTTAACCTTACTTGTTTTTTTTAAATTTATTTCCTTGCTGCTAAAAGGTTTTTGTGGTGTTTACTTTGTTTAATAGTATATTTTTTAGTAATTTAGTAGTAGAGAATTTATATTTCTCTATTCATAAATTAACATGATTTTAAATTTAAATGTGAAAAATAAATGTGTAAAATTCTGACATCGTAGTGTTCTTTAGAATGTTTTTGATGTGCTTCTTCCTCAGCTATGAAGCCTTTCTTCAGTTGGATGAACTCTACTTCATTTGTTATGAGAGGTTTATGCAACTCATCCAGAACGACTTCTCTTAACACTAGATTGGGTGTGGTAGTGATATCTTGTGGCCTTCAATATTGCCTGACATTATCCTCTAGATTTTTTTCCTGGAATTTTGTGAAATACTGTGTTCATGCAACAAAGCTATTCTCTGTTTGGGAGTTTATGGACAGAATTGTATGGCTTTGTGATACCAGAAATATTATTAAAATTCTTTAAGGAAACAAAGTACAGCATTAGCAGGTGCAATGACTGTGCAAATGACCACATTAAAAAAAAGAGAGAGAGAGAGACTCAAAATCCTTCACTGGGATTTGTAATATATAAGAATTTCAATGCAACTGCTTTAAAGTAAAATAGAGAACATAATTATAGCTCACCTTGTATTTTATATAATTTNGGTAGTTTGAGTTATATGACATTATTTAATAAATTATATAAATATCTTTTTTTTTTTATGTTTATGAATAGTCTTTATTAATAATTTAAAAATAAACTTCAAATGTAACAAAGAGCATTACTTATGTCATTAAATTATTGAATGTTTTCTTGTGTATGATAAATAATGGTGTATTTTTTTTAAAATTAAAAGCATGATATATCGCTTAATAATGGTATAGATGACCATCTGATTTTAGCATGTAGTTGTGTGACCCGCATGAGGATTTTATTCCCTTAAAACAATTGGGTGTCTTGCCACATTGATACTAATATTAAATGTTATATTCTAAACATTTTAATACATTTAAAATGGTATGTTAATAATTTAAAGAGAATGGCAAAATTTTATATTTTATGAATGCTTTGAGAAAAAAAAGGATGTATTTTTAATCAAATTTAATATCTTGTTTGAGAATACAACATTTGATGGAATCCCTCATCCCCATTTCCCAGAAACCTGTTATGTTTTGATGTTAATAACTTTCTGTGCTTGCTACTGACATCATATTCATCACTGGAATTTTTAGCCTTGTTTGCAGATTAATCATTTAAATACTCCTTTTTCTCCCATTAAAAATCATATCTTTTATTCAGCCCGGTGGTTCACCTTATCATACAGTTGTTCCCGCAGATACTCAATGGGATGGTTGGAATTTAGGTAAAAATGAAAATTTGTAGTAGAATATTATATTTTTAACATTTAAAAACTTGAAATACTATAAATTTTTAGTGAGTGCATTAAAGAGGAATAGATCTAATAGTTGGTCGGATTCGTTAGAAGAATATCGTTTTATGGATTCTCTACCCGACCCTAAAGAAGTGGAAAAAGAAAACCACGAAGCAAATATACAGTATGTGATATACATTTCAATAACAAGACATTTGAAAGATTGTAATATTTTTATTTTTATTTTTAGATTGTTAGATCCTAAAACGTCGTCAAAATACGACGAATTTAAAAAAGTCTATGCAGAAATACTTTATAGATGGAATTTATTACAGCAGCGTGCTCAAGTCTTGAAGTATGTGTTGACCGCACCAGAGAAGCACAAAGGCATAGGTATGAAATTTATGATTATTTTGAATACAGTTTTATCTGGAAAATATTTTCAAATTTTTATGTAATTCTGTAGAATTTTTGACTGAATGTCAAGATTGCCATAAAGATGTTCGAGGAGTGCAATGTTTACAATGTAAAAATTATAGCTTGCATTGTGCAATTTGCCATCTTGCTGTAAAAGGTTGGTTTTGTCTTTTATTCTTAGAAAAATGAAATTATTTATCTTAGCTCACTCACAAGAGTTGCTTCTTTTTAAATTAATGCTGCATCAACAATATCATAGAATAAAAACTAGATTTATCTTTTGCAAACATAAACAATGCATTATTCAGGAAGACAATACACATGATTGCAATCCCCTCTTTGAGATAATATCCTGTAGCTTGCCAGATCACCAGACTTTTCTCCTATTGAGTACATATTGATACGATTGGAAGCTAACTGATACCCTGCACTTACACTGACCCAAGGTCTATATAAGAAGGTCAGGACACACGTGACCTACTTCTTGAGCCGCCATTTTGGGGTTTTTTGAGGCGCATGTTTTAAGAAAACTTGTACGAGCAGTCAGTTTTATATGAGATTAATTAAACTAAAATTGCATAAATCCAGTGATTTCCAGTCAAAAATATAATAATAGTTTCGGATGATTATACAACTCCAATTTTATGTAACGTTTTCATCAAATAGTTTAAAAGAAACAATCATCCATATCATTTGCTGTTGTGATTGAAACTAACTAAATAGGTGCTAAAAGTGATGCAATAACATCAAAAAAAATTTAAAGTATAATAAAGAATATAATATAACAAATTTATAATTATTTTTTTAAAGCATGATTGGTAATAAAATTAAGATGAAATTCAATAGTATTATTAATAAATGTTGTCAATGTAATGCTTATTTTATAATAAGTAATAGATGTGTACATATATTTTTAATTTATAAATAGCTTTCAAAAAATTCCAAAAATAAAATTTTAAATTAAATTATTTGACAACTAGCAGGTAGGCCTAGTGTTGCTCGAGCAAAAGTAACGATAGCAAGATTAAGATTGTTGTGAATTTGTCTCTTTAATCCGATTTTCAGTTCGGTAGACTATCATATACAGCATTCAGGTTATGAACTTCCTTTATTGATTTGTCATATGCATTTCGGACTCAATTGTAATTTAAGTCCCTCTTCAGTACAAACTCAGATTCTGTTTTCTAAAAACCTCGGTGTATAATTGGTAACGTTGTAAAAGAATAAAAATACAGCCATTTAAAAAACACTTCAACTACATATTCACATTAATACGTTGCACACTTTACAAATGTTCATAAAAACCTTTACAATTACAACTTTTTTCAAGAAAAATTCGTATGCACTTTATTGAAATGTTGCAGCAATAATGAACGTTTTTTTC